TTATCCTCGTTGAATCTTGTGTCAAAACTGGGATGTTTTTACAATTTGCAAACACTAACTAGAACCAGATTTTGGCCCGCTTCTCACATGCTGTTTTTTATGCCTCACCTCATTTCTTCAGATAAACGTTGTGCATTCTATGTTGATGAAACCCTTTGGCTATAATTCTTGGTTACATAGATTTGATTTTCCGGTAGTCTTGTTTTACACGCATAATTCTCCTTTTCTAACGAGTGTGTTATACGGGATAAATAATTTTTTTTAATGAATAGATGAAATTCTTGGTGTCCAATGCAAGGTCCATGAGAAGGAGTATAGGGGTACTCACCATCCCCATAGGAAATCTTGTTGCAACTTTTAGCGAAGACTGCACACTGACTTGTGGAAGCCTTGAATACTTTGGGGTTATTTCTATCTTGTTAAACAAATGAACATCTTTGTAATTTCTGCAATGACTATATAAGCTCTAGAGTTTATTTGAAGGTATTGTAGTAAAATTAATTATCTTATCACCAATGACGTGGTTAGTTGAAAGCCGGTGCTGCTTGGAGTATTGACTGATTGAAAATTCAAAATATCTATTTGCATTCTTTTACTTCCGTTTTTATTTTATTTTTAAATCTATCCTTTTGTTGAAGTTATGTTATAAATATATTTTCATGCACATACCAATATTAAAGAAAAAAATGACATTTATATTATTTTATTTTTTAATAACGTGTATGGGACGTGTCCTGGAACTGAATAATTGCGATACGTATTGGGTTTAACATGAAGCATCAAGTCTATATGCTGAACAATACAGAATACTTTGTATTTAATGGGGTCTAAAACTGAAGGGTGGGTTAAATATGTTTTTAGTCCCTAAACTATCAAGCGATTTTGGTTTTAGTCCCTACTCAAAACATTGATGGCATTTAGTCCTTGTAGTATTAAAACATGTAAAAATAGTCCTTAAAAATGGACGGCGTTAACTTTTGGTTGATCTGGCAAACGGTAATGCCACGTCCTCCGCCAGCTTCCCTGTTCTCTATCTGCCACGTTGCTTATATCGTGAAAACCCTATGTTCATCTTCCTCTGAGAGAAATGCCTAACCTAATAAATCCTCCGAGAGACGGAAATTTTTAGATTGAATTCAGGGGAGGCACAATCCACTCAAAATGAACACAACTGAATACAATTATTAAAAACACAAGCCAAATGTACTCGGTTCTAACCAAAAATCAAGCTATAAGCATACATGAAAAATTACTACCCTCCTTATAAAGCAAAACATTAAATCCCTAAATAAGATTATAACTGCATTTCTTTCTCCACGAAAAATTGCCCCAAAATCTTTACTTCATAAACAACAACTTAGAATCCTAAACCAAGATGCAGTTCCCAGGTTTCCTTCTATTTCTCACAGAATAAAAAACAAAACCAAACATTCCACCCAAACAACCAAAAACCGAAAACAGAGCACACATTCATTATTTCTATTTTCGAAACAAAATACCCCAAATCCATGGCAGGTGCAGAGCACATTGAAGGAAGAAACGTGGAGAGAGAAAAGCAAATGTACCGCGTCGAACGATGGTGAAATTAGACGAATTGGAGAAAGAAAGCGAAAATAAAAGGCATGGATTGAAGGAAAATGAGATATGCAAGGTGAGAGGGAAGAAAGGGAAAGTGAAACTTTGAATCGGAGTGTTCTGCTTAGAAAACGCCGCGTGGCAGATAGAGAACAGGAAGCTGGCGGAGGACGTGACATTGCCGTTTGCCAGATGAACCAAAAGTTAACGCCGTCCATTTTTAAGGACTATTTTTACATGTTTTAATACTACGAGGACTAAATGCCATCAATGTTTTGAGTAGGGACTAAAACCAAAATCGCTTAATAGTTAAGGGACTAAAAACATATTTAACCCTATTATTTTTTCAAAAATTAAAAATATTATTATAAAAAAATTTATAATCAATAATAATAACAACAATTATAATAAAGTTATAAAATTTTAAAATTATATTTTATTTCGAATTTATTATCTTTTACGAATTATCATTTTGATAACAAATTTTATTCTAATTTATATTAAAAAAATAATATTACAACAATAAAAAAATCATCGTTAAATCTTTTCTTTACATTTTTTTACATTTTAAAGTAATTAAAATGTAATCTCAAATTTTTTTTAATTAATTATTTTTGTCTTATTTTAATTTTCAATATTTAATTTTTCTTTTTTTTTCTGCTTTAAACAAAACTCTCCCACAATTCGTTCTCTAAAAAGTCCAAGGAACTTCTGATATCATAAAAAAATCAATTAAAAATTAAATTTTCATCCATTTGAAGAAATAATGTTCTATTAACTTTATTGAGTAACTCTTTTTTTTTAAATAGAGGTTATTACTTATGAAAAATTTTAAAGATATTAATTTTCTTTTATTTTAATTTTCAATATTTAATTTTTCTTTTCTTTTCTTCTTAAAAAAACTCCCACAATTCATTCTCTAAAAAGTCCAAGGAACTTCTGACATCAGACATAAAAAAAATCAATTAAAAATTTAATTTTCATCCATTTGATATAATAATGTTCTATTAACTTTATTTGAGTAACTTTTAAAAAAAACAAAGGTTATTATTTGTGAAAATTTTTAAAGACATTAATTTTATAATCAATTTAAAATAAAATATGCGTGATTAAATTAAAGAATAGTTTTAATCTATGTAATTAATTTAAAATTACAAGTTTTCAAAAGATCAATTAAAATCTAAATAAATTGATTTAGAAGGCATGGAGAAGAATTATTTTTTGCATGTACATAATCTTTTTTTTTTTTTTTAATCTGTCACATCAATCATATTCTATATTAATTCTCAGAAACTTTATTTCCAAATTCACTCTCACTTACTCCAAAATTAACTCAAATAAACAACAAAAAATTTACATTCAAATCCTCTT